AGGGCAATCAAGGAGGATTAGGGAGCTCTCCCCTATCAGGCACAAGAAGCAGGGCTGATCAGAGAGGTTGGGGCGCCCTTTCCCTGTCACGAACAGAGCAGGGCGGATAGGGAGGGTTGTGGCCCCGCCCCCTGTCACTCACAGAGCCACAGGGCGATCAGGGGGTTTGGCGCTGCCCCCTGTCACGCTGATCCCGGTGCCGGGAGCCTCGCTGCTCCGCTGATCCCGGTGCTGGGAGGCATATTACCCTTTTACTATATAGGATAGAGGCCTGGGGGCCGGCTGGTTTCTTTTTTATCTATTTTTATTTTTTGAAATGTCTTTTAAAAAAATATAATTCTTCATTGTTGAAAGTATTACATATGTCACCTTTCCCCCCCGAATAAATCCCCTACAGCCTGCCTTGCCCCCTCCCCCCGCCCCAGGCCTTCACTGCCCCATTGTCGGTGTCCATGGGTATTGCATATCCTATATAATAAAAGCCTAATATGCTAAGTGTCCAACCGTTCAACCATTCAACCAGTCACTATGACGTGCACTGCCCACCAGAGGGCAGACACTTCGACTGGTAGGATAGCTTGCTGCTGGGGTCCTGCCAGATGGGTCGGACACGGCCTGGAGCCCTCCTGTGGTCCCTCCCAGGTCCTGATTGTGCACCGGTGGGGTCCCTTGGCCTGGCCTATGCTCTCTTGCAATCTGTGACCCCTTGGGGGATGTCAGAGAGCTGGTTTCGGCCTGATCCCCACAGGCCAGGGCGAGGGACCCCACTGGTGTACAAATCTGTGCACTAGGCCTCTAGTGTCCATACAAGGTCCTTGGTTGATTACCTCCCACCCACCCACCTTCCCCTGCCTTCCTTCTGAGTTTCTGCAATCTTGTCCATGTTTCCATGTCTCTGGATCCACTCCATTCATCAGTTTATTTTGTTACTTAGATTCCAAATATGAGTGAAATGTGATACTTGTCTTTCTCTGACTGACTTATTTCACTCAGCATGATACTCTCCAGGTACCTCTATGCTGTCTCAAAGGGTAAGAGATACTTCTTTTTTACAGCTGCATAGTATTCCATGTTGTAAATATACCACAGTTTTCTTATCCACTCATCTACTGATGGGCACTTGGGCTGTTTCCAGATCTTAGCTATTGTAAATTGTGCTGCTGTGAGCATAGGGGTGCATACATTCTTTCTGATTGGTGTTTCCGGATTCTTAGGATATATTCCTGGAAGTGGGATTACTGGGTCAAATGGCAGTTCCATATTTAATTTTTTGAGGAAACTCCACACTGTTTTCCATAATGGCTGCACCAGTCTGCATTCCCACCAGCAATGTACTAGGGTTCCCTTTTCTCCACATCCTCACCAGCACTTGTCATTTGTTGATTTGTTGATGGTAGCTATTCTAACAGGTTGAGTTGATACCTCATTGTCGTTTTAATTTGCATCTCTCTGATGATCAGTGACTTTGAGCATTTTTCATATGTCTCTTGGCCATCTGTATGTCCACTTTATTTCCTTCCTTCTATTTAGGGCTTTTCTTATTGTTCTTTTTCTAGTTCTTTAAGTTGTAGGGTTAAATAGTTTATTGTTGATTTTCCTTGATTTTTGAGGTAGTGCTATGAACTTCCCTCTCAGGACTGCTTTTGCTGTGTCCCAGAGATTTTGGGTTGTTGTGTGTTCATTTTCATTTGTTTCCAGGAAGTTTTTGATTTCTTTCTTGATCTCATTGGTAACCCATTCATTGTTTAATAACATGCTATTTAGTCTCCATGTGTTTAAATGTTTTTTGGTGTTTTTACTGTAGTTGATTTCTAATTTCATTCTGCTGCGATCTGAGAAGATGCTTGATATGATTTCAATCTTCTTGAACTTGTAGAGACCTTTTTATGTACTAACATGTGGTCTATCTTTGTGAATGATCCATGTGCACTTGAGAAGAATGCATATTCTACAGCTTGGGTGAAATGTTCTATAAATGTCAATTAAATCCATCTGATCCATTGTGTCCTTTAGAATCAGTTTCCTTGCTATTTTTTGCCTGGAAGATCTATCCAGTGAAGTCACTGGTGTGTTAAAATCCCCTACTATGACTATATTGTTGTCTACCTCTCCCTTAAAGTCCTCTAGAATTTTTATTTATTTATTTAGGTGGTCCTATATTTGGTGCATATATGTTTATCAGGGTTATATCCTCTTGTTGGATCATCCCTTTAGTATTATGTAGTCACCTTTGTTGTCTCTTGTGGTGGCCTTCATTTTGAAGTCTATTTTGTCAGATATGAGTATTGCTACTCCAGCTTTTTTTTTCTTTCCCATTTTCATGGAAAAAATAATTCCATTCCTTCATTCTCATTCTGTGTGTGTCTTTTGTTCTAAGGTGGGTCCTTTGTAGACAGCATATAGTTGGGTCATGTTTTTGTATCCATTCAGCTACCCTATGTGTTTTGATTGGAGCATTTAATCCATTTACATTTAAGGTTATTATTGACTAGAGGCCCAGTGCACAAAAATTTGTGCCCTCGGGGCGGGGGGGGGGGTCCCTCAGCCTGGCCTGTGCCCTCTTGCAGTCTAGGACCTCTCGGAGGATGTTCACCTGCTGGTTTAGGCCCTCTCCCCGGGGGATCAGGCCTAAGCTGGCAGTCAGACATACCTCTGGCAGCCCGGGAGCCCTCAGGGGATGTCCACTTGCCAACGGGGAGCAGGCCTAAGCTGCAGTCAGACATCCTTAGCGCTGCTGAGGAGGTGGGAGAGGCTACCACCACCACCGCTGTGCTGGCAGCCATCAGCCTGGCTTGTGGCTGAGCAGAGCTCCCCCTGTGGGAGCGCACTGACCACCTGGGGGCATCTCCTGAATTGTGCATCTGCCCCCTGGTGGTCAGCGTGTTTCATAGTGACCAGTCATTCCCAGTCATTCTGCTGTTAGGGTCAATTTACATATTACCTTTTTATTATATAGGATAGAGGCCTGGTGCATGGGTGGGGGCTGGCTGGTTTGCCTTGAAGGGTGTCCCGG